AAAATCTAACTGAAAAACTCCCTTCGCTCCAAAATTATAAAATGATTTTAATAATTTTAAATATGAATTTTTTTAAAAAATTGATGCACACAGAAAGTGTACGTTTTCACCACTCTTAATATATTAGTTAGGAGTTCTTATAAAAATCTAAGAAATTAATTATTGGAAATTAGTATATAATCGAGAAAAAAAAACGAAGACTTTATAAAATAATAAATTATTAAAGAAGTAAGCTAGTTTGAAAATGTCGAAACCTGTTAGATTTCCGGAAAAATATGCACTTTCTAAGAATTTAAGTTAGTATATTTTAAAACTACTTCAAAATTTCCAGCATGGATTCTAACTGGTTTCGAAATTTCCATCATGTTTAAAAACTGGTATCAAAATTTCCAGTACGATATTATACTGGTTTCACACTTTCCTATATATTTGAAATCTGGTGTCAAAATTTCCAGTATGCTACATACTGGTTTTAAAATTTCCAGTGTGGCGTCATACTAGTTTTAAACTTTCCAGTATGGGGCTGGTTTTAAAATTTCCCGTATGGTGCTATACTGGTTTTAAAATTTCCAGTATGGTGCCATACCAGGTTTTAAAATTTCCAGTATAGTTTCATACCAGGTTTTAAATTTCTGGTATAGTTATACTGGTTTTGGTATCATTGTTACTGGTTTTTGATACTGGTTTTGCGAATTTTTTCCAATAGGGAAGTTTTATTGACCTCTAGATAGTTTTACTCACCTCTAGATGCTCAAAGAAGATTGTACAAAATTTTACTACAAAAAAACTTATTTTTTAAAAATGAAAAGCTCTTGTGAACTGGTTTTTTAAAATAAAAAAAAATTTCATCAGTGCCTTGTTTGCGACATGAAAATGTGCAATTTTTCGAGTATTTGAATTATTTTTTTAATGAAGAATTCGCCAAAGAATATTTTCAGTATTTTTTTAATCATTAAATATTTGCTTTCTTAAGTCTAGTCAATTTAAATAGTGAGTGTGCATGCAGTATAAAACGCGAGGTTAACTTTGAGTTTCAAACACTCGAATTGCGTTTTTTTTCGCTGCCGAAATTTTTCAAAAAATAGCAATCAATTAAATTAAATTTCAAAGAATTAAATCTTCTTTCGTCTAAAAACTTATCCTGGTGAAATCTTGATTTCATACAGGACCTCATTCTGATTTCTAAAAATGTTCAACGGGAATTGAATATTTTGCATAAATTTTTCCTGAGGCTGTGCTTTAGCTATAATACTTTATGTACGTTGAGTTTTTGCCCATTAGGAAAATAGATATTGTCTTAAGCTTTTTATGTCTGCACCCTTTTCGACTGGATCAATTTTCCCTGCAAAACCATATGTAAAGAGTTGTAAGTGATAAAAAAAAACAGGCTAACATAAGCATTAATAAAAAAGCAACACAAGATCAAATAATGAAAAGAGCAAACGATAATTTTGGAACTTCTAGGAGTTGATTTTTTTTCCAGACTCAGTTTCATTATTATTTCTGCTACCACCAATGTGCATTTTCAATATTTTTACATAATATTAATTTAATTTGTATGTTCATTTTATGATTAACTTATTCGTAATTAATTGTCTTGTTTGCGATTTTAATATAAATATGAATACTGAAGAAGGAAAAGAATTCTGTGATGTTTTAAAAGACGCATCTTGGCTAGATTTAGATACCTGCAAGTGACGTTTTCGTGTGTATGGATCTTGATTGGCTGATGAAACGTGAGCATTGCTTATGTTAGCAACTGTTATTCCCTTCCATATTGCGAAAGCCAATCTCGTCAAATACAATCTCGTTTGTCTTTATTGATACTCGGATGCCCACTTTGGGGGCGGGGCGGGGTTTAGCAATAAATTAACACAAAGACAGACAATAAGCTATATAGAACATAAACATTATGTATAAGGATACACATTATGCCTAATACTGTGGCGTAACTCCCACTATAAATATTAAATACCAAATCGCTAGTATATAATACATGTTAACTCGATTTCATCAAGAGGTACCGTTTGATAGCTGAAGGTTGACATAATCGATAATAATATCTCCCTGCAATGGTGACCTGCCGACATGATAAGAACTTGCTAATATTGATGGATGAATCCACATTAAACAGTTGATTTGCTTAAAAAATATATATATACTGCTGAAAGAAAAAGAAAAAAAAATCCGGTAAAGTAAATAAACTCTCTCGGTCAATAAACAAAAAATGAAGAAAAATATATATATAAGGAGCGAAATGCTAACGGAAAAAAAAAACTGAAGGGAAAAAAATAATAATAATG